CGCTCATGACCTAGTTTTGAGAAATTTGACGTAAAAAATTTGAGTTCCACAATAGAATATCAAGATTTATCGAATGCAATTCTTTGAATGTCTTGATAACGGCTCCGAATGATCTTATGATTTTAATTCTTATCAAATGAGAGTTTTTGTGTGATGTGATGTGGGCCATTGGCCTTAAACACCGAATAAACTTACTTACTTACTTACTTACTTACTTACTTACTTACTTACTTATTTACTTACTTACTTACTTACTTACTTACTTACTTACTTACTTACTTACTTACTTACTTACTTACTTACTTACTTACGATTTTGATACATTAGACAGGGCGTTGGGTTTCTGACCTCGTGGTTTTTAGTAACTAAAATCAGCCAAAAATTTCAGAGAGAATTTTGTAACTCTAACTTTTAAGTAAGCGATTTATTTGGATGCTATTTCCTTCCCAGTGAGATAGTGCTTTATGAAGCCCACGTGGGACGCTCAATTTCTTTTAAAAAGCAGGAAACGACAAATGCAGTTTTTGGGACACCTGAATAGACATAAGGTCTTGAATATCGAGCTCTCACTGGTAAAATCAAAGACAAACGAGGCAGGGGTAGGCCCAGAACAACCTACTTAAGGAACCTAAACAAATGGGCAACGGGAAAAGATCAGGGAAACATAGCTTTTTTGAGAGCATCCGAGAAAAGGAACGAATGGAGAACCATGATCGCCGATGTCTGTCGCAGATATGGCACTGGATGATGATTCCCTTCCCAACACGTGATGACCTTGACATGAAGGGTCAAAGCCATCAGCCTCAAGAATGACCTAAATTGTGTCAAAAGAGGCATAAAACACTCACAGTCCTTGACTATCTCGTCCACAGCGGCCCCACGTGTACCATCCGGACATCAAAATCAACACCAGCGATCCAGGGAATCCTCAGTTCGAACACCCAGTAATCGAGTTCAACAACAGCACGCTGCCCTATGGCATGGAGTTCGTAGTCGTCCACACCAGGGCCTTCGTGGTGGACGAGGATCGATACATTGTCGTCAACGATTTCTCCGAGCTGGAGGCGGAGTCGAGGATCCATTTTGACGTAGGTGTTTGTTTGTTTGTTTGTTTGTTTGTTTGTTTGGTTGGTTGGTTGGTTGGTTGGTTGTTTGTTTGTTTGTACGTGTGTGGGTGGTGTTTGTTTGTTTGTTTGTTTGTTTGTTTGTTTGTTTGTTTGGTCGTGTGTGGGTGGTGCATTTGTGTGTGTGTCTGTGTGTTTAGTATGTGTGGTGTGTGTGTGTGTGTGTGTGCGTGTGTGTGTGTGGATGCTGTGTTTGTGTTTGTGTGTGTGTGCTTGTATGTGTGTGTGTGTGTGTGTGTGTGTGTGTGTGTATGTGTGTG